CCACATGGGAGACCTGGAAGAAGCTCCTGGCTCCTGGCTTTGGATCGGCGCAGTTCTAGCTGTTGCGGCCAATTGGGGAGAGAACCATCGGATAGAAGACCTCTCTCTGCCTCTCTTCTGTGTAACTCTGACTTTCAAATAAATAAATAAATCTTACAAAAAAAAAAGACCTGGGGTGTAAATTTAATGCAACAGGTAAGACAAGACACCTACCTCCCATGTTAGAGTGATTGGACTCAAGTCCTGCTCTGCTTCTGAGTCCAGCTTCAAGCTAATACAGACCCCAGGAGGCAGCAGGGATGGCTCAAATACATGGGCTCCTGACATCCATGTAGGAGACCCAGAGTGAATGTCTAGATCCTGGTTTCAGCCTGGCTCAGCCCTAACCATTGCAGGCAATTGGGAAGAGAACCAATGACAGAAAACCTCTCCCTCTCTCTCTCTCCCTCTCTCTTTCTCTCTCCTTTTCAAATAAATAATGAAATAAATTTTAAAGCATCTTGTAAAAAAGAGACTTTGAGATGGCAACAAGAAGAAAGGGCTGGATGATGCGATCACAATGGGGTGGGGAGTTTTCCAAGAAAACTTGAGCAGGTGCCACCTGGTGGAACCTCTGATTGGCCCTACTCTCCTCTGTGCACTGAATTAACTGCATCCCTGCTCCCCTCGGCTACAGAAGTGGACAGAGGCGCAGCACCTGCAGGATGATGAGGTCAGCTGTCGGGCAGGCGGCAGGATGGAGCCACCTGGCTCTTTCGGGAGCGCTTGAAAGCCGGGACCTGTGCAAAACCAGCCGTTCTTCTCCTCAGCCATGAGTGTGTGGACATACCCTAAACCGGCCGGCCTGACTTCCCACTCTGACAGACAGATGTTTTACCCCCCAAATGCAAGTTCCAAAAGCGTGCAGCACTTGAGAAAATTGCTCCCGTCGTCACCGTGGATAGGCATCTTCAAGTGACCGCCAGGAGCAAAATGTGTTTGGCGGATATGATGAAAAAGAAAGTGACAGTGCTCAATAACCTCTTCCCTTGATTTCTGGCAAATAAGAGCCCTGAGACAGCTTCAGTGGGGAGAAATTAGGGCCTGAAAATTATAGCTGCTTCTCCCTCCATGGCTCTGCCTGAAGCCTCATCCCCCACCCTTAGCTCCTCCTCAAAGCTGCATCTGTGTTGAAAAAAGCCGGTCATTGTTAACAGCTGCACTGTGTTCAGTTCTCTGTCCAAGGTACCCAGTAAGCCCTTACAAGCCTCATTTCTCAATATCCTGAACGCAGTCCTGTGCGACAGCCAATGTCATTCCCCCATTTAATAGATGAGCATGTAGCGGTCCCAGGAAAGCTAATAAATACCAGGTCACACATAGGAAGCAGCTGGACAGCTACAGGACTTTACCAGCTGCTCCTCCTGGTGCTGAAATACACCCTCAGCTGCCAACGTGACGTTTCCTTGTTCTGATGCTCAGAGAGACTTGCCAAGTTCATACATAGACCGTAAGTCAAGGGCATAAGGAGATGAGCTAGCCTAAGCTGACATCCAAGACAACCCCCATCTCAGTAGCTGAACCTAAGAGCAGCTCATTTCTTGTCCAGCCTCTGTGTCTGCAGGAGAGCTCCTTACAGGTGCACAGGGGGAGAAATGATAGAAGTGCAGCTCCCACCATGCCCCAGGCAGGAAGAGAAATCTGACGACTTGAGGACTGGTTCTGAGAGCATCCGCCCAGACTGCCACATGTCACTTTGGCTCCTGTGTCTTTGAACAAAGCAAGTCACAAGGCTATACCTGACCACAGGGAGCAGGGAAGAACTGGGCTTCTGGCAAGATGGCACTAATGATGTCTCCACCAGACCTAGGGCAGGAGCACGAACTCGATTCTAGCCTTTTCCACAAGGTGTGCAGAGACTGAAAAAGTGCTGGTGTTTTTTCTTTCCTGCTTCCTTCCCCGATTGATCTTGCCTGTTGGTTTATTTGCCACTGAAAATGAAACATCAAGAGAGACCGACGCTGTCTAACCAGGCCTTTTTCTTTATCAACGGCTTCTCCCGAGCCAGGGCTCGGGGCTCTTTAAGGTCTGTGGGAATCTTGCCGCATTTTTAGCTCATTTAGCTGCTGCTTGAAGTTGCAATAGATTTCAGGTCGTCTTGGAAGTCGGCATTAGCGCAAAACTTCCATCTCCCTCGATTGGGCCTGAATATTTAAGATTTTTCAAAGCTTGGCTGGGACCAGATTTAATTCTGAAAGAGGGAGGGGGGAGATGCTTTTGAACTCCAGGAAGAAAGCTGGGGGCACAGCAGGGGCTGCCTTTGCAAAGGGAAAAGCGAAAAAGACCCTGTGGTCTTGAAAGAAGCGCTCCAGAGAGGAAACGCTAAAGCTTCCAGCCAGCGAGCCTTAAATCAGACTTCAAAAGCACCGCCGTTGGTTTAAATATTGTTTATAGGACTGAAGCCTTGCTCCGGCTGGATTTTAAATATTCCCTAATTTGATTACTCAGGGGAGAGGCAGGCAGAACCAGCTCAAATGAGCTTCACTGTTAATTATTCAGAGGGCTTTTTATTGTGTAATCAGACATAAAGTCTTACAAAAAGCTCTGAGGCACATTCTCACCCCACCCCTCCCAGCCCAGCCTCCACCCTGAGGTCTTCATGCATTTCTCCAGTCTGGCAAGTGGTGCTGGTGAGGGGTAGGGACCCCCATCCCCATGTGAGCTGGCAGAAGTCTTTGATTCTGCTGCCTACGCACCCACCCCGCCCCCCACCCCATGCCATGACAAGACAGCCTGAAGTTGGGTTTACCCTGATCCCCTTTGGCCTAACGTATCTGAGCACCTGCCATCCCGCCAGCCCCTGGCAGCCCATGACAAGCCCACACCCCTGTGAGTGTCTCTCCCATCCATGCTGGCCCATCTTCTCATTTCCTCAAGTCTCTTACTGTGCTGGTGAGAGCCTGCCAGATGATGAAAGGGGTTCCAGCCAACTCAAATGCATTCTGCAGAGAAAAGGAGGACAAAGAAGGAGATGGGTGCATGGACAGCTAGATGGGCAGGTAGATGGATAGATGGACAGGCGGCTGGAACAATGGATAGGTGGAGGCCGGCGCTGCAGCTCACTAGGCTAATCCTCCTCCTGCGGTGCCGGTACTCTGGGTTCTAGTCCCGGTTGCTCCTCTTCCATTCCAGCTCTCTGCTGTGGCCCAGGAAGGCAGTGGAGGATGGCCCAAGTGCTTGGGCCCTACACCCGGATAGGAGACCAGGAGGAAGCACCTGGCTCCTAGCTTCGGATCGGCACAGCGCGCCGGCCATAGCAGCCATCTGGGAGGTGAACCAATGGAAGGAAGACCTTTCTCTCTGTCTCACTTACTGTCTAACTCTGCCTGTCAAAAAAAAAAATGGACAGGTGGAAGGATAGACAGATGGACAGAGGGATAGATGGATAGGTATATGGATGGATAGAGGATGAATGGACAGGTGGCTAGATGGATGGATGGATAGACAGGTGGATGGATAGATGTACAGGTGGCTGGCTGGGTGGACAGAGGATGATTGGCCAGATGGTTGAACGGACAGGTGGCTGAGTAGATGAACAGTTAGATGCATAGATGGACAAGTGGATAAGTGGATAGATGGACAGATGGGTGTATAGATGGACAGGTGGATGGACAGATGGATAGGTGGATGAATGGATGGATAGCTGGCAGGTGGATGGATAGAGGGACTGATGAACGAATCAATCTGTGTGTAAAGGTAGTTGAGAGATCACACCTTGAGACACCCTGCTTGCTTGTCAGTAGGAATGCACAACTCTACAACCACAAGTCCAAAATCGAAAAGGCTCTGAAAACTCAGTTTTTCCTAATTCATTCGGCAGCAAAATCTGACAGATCCCAGTGGATTTGGTTGCAATACCTGGCTTTAAGCTATGCATTGACTTTTTCCCGCCTAATGTAAATACTTCATATTCAGGAATTTCGCTGCACAAATATTAACCTGTTTGGTTACAGGAGGCCTCCACAGGCCCCACTGGAGAGATTATGTTAACATGTAGTATGTGCCACCAGTTTGCTTTCCAAATAGCAAAGTTGTGAATTTGGCAGCATGCAAGGGTACTTTTAAATGTTTGTGGAAAAAATGGAATTAAAATGTAAGTTTAGTTGGTGCAAGAAAGTTTTGAAATCCATGTATAGTTGTTTCATAATATGCATTTTCCATGAACTGCCTGGGACCCCTTGGGCTTCAGATAAGGAGCTGTAGGCCTGTCACCCATGTAGCCTGCTGTGTGCCACCCAGAAGGTGCCCAGCCCATGAGGGGAGGATCCAGGTTTTGTGGGGCCTGAGCTTGTTCAACTGGGGGAGCGATGGGTGCTTTAAGAAAAGGCACACAGAACTCTAACACCAAACTAGACATGAGGCCCTGGAGGAGGAACCTATGTGGATGAGCAGAGGTAACAGTTTAGCTTCATTAGTTCCATTGTAAGTCTGCATCTGAGTGAGTGCCTTTGGCCTCCCTGAGTTTGTTTCCACCTCTGTGAAATGGGATGACAGTGACCTTGTCACAAGCGGCGATCTTCGTTGTGCTGCTCCCAACCCCACCCAGGAACGCCCCGTGGTGTTCCCCTGGGAGCCTTAGGTAACAGGATACACAGAGGTTCCTGAGTGCGCTAGCTTCTCTGTCTACTCCCAGGAGTAACCGCACAGCTGCCGTGCAGCCCCTCAGAGGACCTGCACCCAAAATGCAACTAGACGCGGAATGCACGCACTGGCCTCCCACCTCCCCATGCCCCCCTCCCCCGAGCAGCCCTCCCTCCCTCACCCTCACTCCGGAGACCCAGCTGTGGCAATGGGGAGCACCGTCCCTCCCTTGTCCCCTTGAGGGGAGGGGAGGGGAGGGGAGGGGCAGCTTCCAGCCGCCATTCCTCCCCGACTCAGCGCTCTGGCTAAAAGAGCGTGTGCTACACCTGCTACACCGAGGCTCTGGAGATGGAAAGCTCATTAACCTGTTTCTCACGCAGGGACCCGGGTGGAAGCAAGAGCACCGTAAAAAAAATCAATAAGGACAAGTACATGGGACAGAGGTGGGATCACTTCATCACAGCTCCAAAGGTAACCATGCGCCCGCGATGCCCCCAGCGCGCTTCCGGCCCCCAGCTCCTGTGTGCTGGCGGGGAGGGGGCTGCTTTGGCCAGTCTGCCCTCCAAGGAGAAAAATCTGGTTTTTCTAGTTGATGCTTGGAGTAAAGGCAATGTCAGGCCACATGTTGCTGGACGGCTCTTGTGAATTTTAATGAAAATGGTTATCTGGGGCTTAGAGGACAAATGACGTTTGGCTGGACACTGCTTGATGGCGAAGGGAGGGAGGGCTGAGCGGCTGCTTAATAAGATGTCACCAGGAGGAGATGGACTCGCCTTGCCCAGCCCTGGATCAATAACATCCATTCCTCCCTCTCTCTCTGAAAATAGTGAGTGATTCAGCAGACAGGACCGCTCCACTGGCACATGGCTCACTATTAAGGGGACCTCAAGAGGCCCGGTCTCCTCACCCCAAACTCACTCCTGTCCCCAGAGCTCCCAGTTCTTCCACGAAACAGGCAAGCCCCATAGTAAGAAGGAGGATGACAACAGGTGGCACTGAGGGACAGGACGGTGGCTGAGCCCCGCCCCCAACCTCCCAGCTGCAGCGCTGGCCATGGGTTTAATGCTGCACCCTAGGGCACCAGGGAGGACCCCACCCTGCAGACCCACTCGGAAAGTGGGCAGGTGCTGGAGCCACGTCATTTCTGGAGGGTGATTTTCCACGGCGCGGCAGCCGACCTGGTGCCATGAAACTCAAGCTCCTGGGTGCTCCGGAAAGTTCACGGAAAAGCGGAAATAAGTATTTGGGCACCAAAAAATGTTTGAAAGCCCTCTGTAGTTTTTTCATAATACGTGTTCTCCGTGGACTTTTTGAGATACCCTGTATTGTCCAGCTCTGCCCTCCTAGGAACACCAGGCCGGGGGCCCCAGCTGCCTCGGAACCCCACCACCACCCTACCCCAGCCAGACTGCTGCAGCAGGAGGTTGCCGCCTTAAATGAATCTTGCTTTGCTTAAAGAGGAGGAGGAGGGGAAGGAGGAAGGAGGAAGAACAATGCCGCAGGGCCCTATTCTTAACCTCTGATGGGAGAGGATGAAGTTGGTGCTCAGAGAGGTTGAGTGACGCCCATGAGGTCACACAGCAGGGTAGTGGCAGTCAGGAGTCAATCTCCTATAACTAGTACGCAAATAGTATTTTACACTTTGTGTTTCTGTGTGGGTGCAAACTGTTGAAATCTTTGCTTAATATATGCTAAATTGATCTTCTGTATATAAAGATAATTGAAAATTAATCTTGATGTGAATGGAAGGGGAGAGGGAGTGGGAGAGGGGAGTGTTGTGGGTGGGAGGGAAGTTAGGGGGGGGGGAAGCTATTGTAATCCATAAGCTGTACTTTGGAAATTTATGTTCATAAAATAAAATTAAATTAAATAAAAATAAAAATAAAGGAGTCAATCTCGGGTCTGCTGTGTGAAACACCAGGCTCTTCAAATGCATCTTCTCCCTGCTCTGGTTCTACCCGCCCCTCGTGAAGACTTGGACAATTTCTTCGCTCTTTCGCCAGGTTGCTGGGAAGTAAGAGGCTTTGTTTTCAACCAGAGAGAGTTGCTATGGAGATAACCTGTGCATCCATTTCCAGAAATGCACAGAAAACGCAGTGGGAGCCGCAGACCTTTCAAAAAAAAAAAGTCCTGGATCCTTCAGAGCCGGAGTGGGAGGAAGGGAGAGTGAATGGCTGGACGGGAATTCCTCACAAAACTGAGTTCTGCAGCAATTGTGTAGGCCCCACAGGAGGCTGCGGCTCGGCCCTCTCTGGGGCGGGAGAGCTCTAAGCTGGGGCAGGTGCGGGAGCCCTGGTTGGACCCCTGTACCTCAGTTCTCTGTGTGCTCTTGGACGCGTCCTTTCCTCTTTGGGACCCCGATTTCTCCACCTGTGTAAGGAAGATGCTGAAAGACTCCAGCCAACTCCCACAGCCCTGATTGGCTTTCGTAGGGGTGGCGTTCATCCCCGTCCGTGACAGGGCGATGTTCCTAGGACCGAGAAATCTGGGCGGAGTGGGGCACAGCAGGGAGCGGCGAGGCCTGTGGCAGACCACACCACCTCTGCATAGCTGAAGTAAAGACCCTGCTGAGTCCCAGCTCATGTCACCCTGTGACAGTGGAAGCCCAGGGCTTGTCATCGTCTAAAGAAACCAAATACTTGGGCTTTTCTGTTTAGGAAGAAATCTCCCCATTGGTCAGTTCCTGAGTACCTGGACACGTCTCCCCGTGGGCCAGCAGATTGCAATGCTTCTTTCTTAGAGAGCATAAGGAGCCATCTGGGGACATCCTTCCCTCGGTCCCTGCTGAAGTGGAGCGCAGCCGCCGGTGACCACTGCTCCTGAGCAAGATGTGAGAAACAGAGAAGGGACTGGGGATTTCAGTCCCCTCCCAGCGAGCCAGTTCAGCGCTGGGACTGCCTGTCACAACCCCCGCCCCCATTTCATTTTTCTGCCACTCTCAGTTAATCAGAAGTGTCAGCCCTTCTCTTTGGATTTCCTGATTGGAGCGATTAATTGAATATTAATGAATGGAAACCTGAAGACCAAAAGAGGAAACCCTAGCCCTAGGAAGGCGGGCACAGAACCCTGGATGTGGGAGGCTCTTCTGAGCAGTTGCTATGTCGGGACAAAGGAAGGCTGGCACGAAACTCCTCATTCAGCAAAAGAGAAAACGTGCCAGCTCTTGGCTTTTGCTTTTTCTTTGTTGTAGTCACTTTGCAATGCACATGCCTCCTGGTGGAGCTGACTCAACCCACTTCAAACTCCAACTCCCCAGTCTGTCACGTGCTGAAAAATTTCCACCACTTGTCCAGAATTTCACTGCAGACTGGGGAGAGAGGAGGGACGGCCACAGGGAGAAACCCCATCTGCACCCCAACCCCTGCTTTCTGTCTTCCCAAACCTTCTACTTCCTCTGTGCAACCAAGAAATCCCTCCCCTCTCCTAGTGCAGGGAAGTTCCACCCGTATTCAGGGCCCCAGGAGGCAGCCAATGGCAGTTACAGCAGAGCCCTGGCATGAGCCCTGCCACCCTGTTCACTATGGATTCAGTCCGTGTGGCCTCCAGTGCCATCTCTCCTCCCTCTCTTCTTTCCTTGGGCGTCAAACACTGTGAGTTTGATGTGAAGAGGGCATTAGCCCGCCCCCTCTCCTTCTCCCCCTTTTTATGGAGACCCAGCTGTTTCTCAAGAGCTGCCAAGGGCCTACCCTCCCCCCACTGGAAACCTGGCATCGTAACGCCAGGTTCACCAGCCACCAAGAGAGGCGTTTACAGGATTTGTAAGCAAGGTTTAGAAATCAGCTTTGGTGTATTGGGCAAGTTAGGAAGCCCCTCTGAAATTTGGGTCAGGGGTTAGGTGAGGACGTGACCGCAGACTGTACATTCAGGTATCCGTCGCACAGTAGGCTGTGCACACACACACACACACACACACGATCTATAACCAGTTCCATCTGACCACTCCCCACCGCACTTTTCTCTAATGCCCATTAAACCCTTCTGGGACTGGTCACCCAGTCCTCCCCACCCACCCAAACTGTGGCTTCTCCACGCCCCTCCCCCCAAGAATATCGGTGCCATTGAACAAATCTGCTTCCTGCTTCTTCCTCTGAAAGGTCAGGCCTGGAATCTTCTCCGTCTTGTGATCTTTAGAAAACCCCCAGTAAACACAAATCTTCCCCCATGGAGGCCCAGGCATCAGCTTGCTATGCAAGAAGTTGATCTTTGCCATCTGCCGGGGCGGGGGGAGGGGGGGTCAACACCAAGATGGAGACAAGTTTAGACCCATCCTCTTCTGCAGCTTGAAAACCAGTTCCACTTCTCTTCCTCGGTGCTACCTATGGAGGTGGCTGCCTTCTACTCGGCATCATGGCTGCCCTCAGACACCTGGTAAAGCCCAAGATTGTCAAAAAGAGGACCAAGAAGTTCATCCAGCAGCAGTCCGACTGAAATGTCAAGATAACTGGCAGACACCCAGAGGTGTTGACAACAGGGTGCAGAGAAGATCTGAGGGCCAGACCCTGATGCCCAACATTGGTTACAGCAACAGGAAACCCAAGCACATGCTGCCCAGCGGCTTCCGGAAGTTTCCAGTCCACAACGTCAAGGAGCTGCAGGTGCCGCTGGTGTGCAGCAGATCTTCCTGTGCCAAGATAGCTCCCGCCTCCTCCACGACCCACAAAGCCATCGTGGAAGGAGCAGCCCAGCTGCCCGTCAGAGTTGCCAACCCCAAGGCCAGGCTGCGCAGTGAATAGACAGCTCGGGTGCTGTTTAAATAAAACCTTGAACACTGAAGAAAACTCCAATAGTCACTGCAGAAGAAGAGTCCAGGACCCTTCTGGGCTTTGGCAGCCTCGTTGCTTCCGGGGGTGCCCCCTGGGGTGATCATGCACCTGCTGTGTACAGTCAGCTCCATCACACCACCACACACTGTCATTATCTTGCTTTGTGCCCAGAGGGCTCCACAGATTCAGGGTGTGTCTTGTGGGCATTCAGAAGCAACCAGAAGGAATTGGCTGTCAAAGCTGGCTCTTTGCGTTTTCCTTCCCTCCCTCCCCCTCCTGTCTTTCCATCCTCGTCACCTCTTTGTCCTCTCTCCCCTTCAGACGAAGAAATTCAAAATCCCTTGCACGCGCACCACCTGCCGCAAGCCCAGCCGACGGGGCTCCATGGTCAGTCTGTCCAGGATCAGCGGGGGGTCCTCCCCGCAGAGCAGCATGGTCTCCATTAACCCCAGCTCCGACGAGCCCCAGAGCATGCTCACCCAGGTGACCAGCAGCAAGGACATCGAGGACAACGAGTCGTCTTCAACCAAGCTGGATGAGGAAGTTCTTCACATCAGTAAGTCCCTGCTGAGGTCTGATCCCTTCCACCGTGGGGCCTTGGCAACTCCGCTCACTCTGCCTCCATCCCCACTCAGCTACAGCACCTACGGGCTGAACAGTGACTTTTGGTAAATGTGCACACTCTCCACCATCTAATTCCACCACGCTTCCACCCCAAAGAAAATTCTGTGCCCGTTAGCAGCCCCTCTCCTTTCCCAGCTAGAACTCCCAGGCAGCCCCAAAGCCACTGTCTGTCTCCATACGTTCGGCTTTTCCAAACACTTTGTATGTGGGAGCTGGATCCCTCTGTGTTCCTTGCCATGGAATGAGCCTTCCCATGGTTGAGTCTCAGGGACACAGACCCTTTGGAAGCTGTGTTGACAGACAGGAGCTGTCGCTCCCCCATTCACGGAGGAACGACACAGGACCCTGCGCTGTTCTTTTGTCTGCTCGGCCCTTCCCGGGTTTGCTGCTGGTCCTTCCCAGGTTGGCTGCCGACCCCTCCACCTCCGTGGAGGGGCGGCTCCCCCTGCCACTTTCCCCACTTCTGCGGGGGAGCGGCACACCGCCGGCCGGCTCTCTCGGGGGCTGCTCAGATGTTATCCGGATGTTCCTGGTGCATGTTGTCTCTCTCCTCCTTTATAGTCCTCTTCCACCAATCCCAACTCTGCTACCCACACGCCGAGCACGCTGCTCTCCTCCAATCAGGAGCAGGATCAGCTCCTGCAGCTTATCAGTCAAATTGGTGAGAGGCAGCTGCGTAGAAGTTTACTCCTCCCCAGCGCCATATTGTGGGAGAGCAGATGCATAGAATAAGTCTTAATTCCAGTAACTTAGTCTAGTCTCAGTTGCTCCCCACAAGGAGCCCTCACTCGAGAAAAGTATCAACATGCACACACACACGCATACACACTACACGCATGCACACACACGTAGCTACCATTCTGTGTACTTTGTAGAGGTGCAGAGGCTGCAGGCCTCAACCAGAAAGAATCCATGTAAAAAAGTCATTTTCAGAACTTTCCAGCTTGAGCTTGTGAAGTAAAAGGAGTTAAGAACAAGAGTCAGCAGAAAGATGGAGAAGGCACAAGTTGGAGAGAGAGGCAGGTGCATCAAGGAGGACCGGCCCACTGCAAAACCTTCAACCAGGTGCAGGGGTCACCCTCCTGCTAGGGCCCCTCCGTGGCGGCCAGGGTGCAGCCTGCCAGGCCCCTATCTAGAGTGTCTGTGACAGCTGAGGAAGGGCTGGGCTGGACTGACAAGCATTGGCTATGGAGCTCGAGGTAGACCAGGAGTCTGTGCAGGGCCCTGCTGGACGAAGTCAGAGGTGAACAAAGATGCCAAGGCCCAGTAGGTGGTCGGGACTTGGAGTAGTGACTGCCAAGTGGAAAGCAAACCCTATGGCCTCACCTCGCTGGCAGGGACTGAGAAAGACCCCAAGGTGGTCAGCAGATGCGGGACTCTTCCAGATTTCATTTTTGTAAAAAATTTTAGCTTCGGCCAGCGCCGCGGCTCAATAGGCTAATCCTCCACCTTGCGGCGCCAGCACACCGGGTTCTAGTCCTGGTCGGGGTGCCGGATTCTGTCCCGGTTGCCCCTCTTCCAGGCCAGCTCTCTGCTGTGGCCAGGGAGTGCAGTGGAGGATGGCCCAAGTGCTTGGGCCCTGCACCCCATGGGAGATCAGGAGAAGCACCTGGCTCCTGGCTTCAGATCAGCACAGTGCGCCGGCCGCGGCAGCCATTGGAGGGTGAACCAATGGCAAAAGGAAGACCTTTCTCTCTATCTCTCTCTCTCACTATCCACTCTGCCTGTCAAAAAAAAATTTTTAGCTTCTATATTTTCATTTTATTTGAAAGGCAACAAGACACAGAGATCTTCCATCCACTGACTGATTCCCCAGATGCCACCAAAGCTGGGGCTGGGCCAGGCTGGAGCCCAGAGCCCAGGACTCTGCTGGCAGAGACCTGAGAGCTGGAGCCCTCACCTTCTGCCCCCCGGGTGCCGGGTCAGAAGCAGAGGAGCCAGGACTCAATCCCAGGCACTCTGATGCCCAGTGCTGGTTTCCCAAGTGGTGACTCAACCGCTGCATCGGACGCCCACCTGGCCTTGGATTCCTTAAACCTTACTTCATTCAACACGTACTTACCGAGTATCTACTGTGTGCCTGGAACTGAGTTTAAAATCTGCCCTCCCATGCTAATATTTTAGAACAAAGAGGCAGACAGTAAACAGGAAAGCCACAAATAGGCAACCGCAGACACCGTGCTCAGAAGAGAACGCACCTGGAAGTCAGGCTAGAGAGAAGATACTTTCAAAAGTGTCTGGAAAATGGAGTTAAAAGTTTAATTTAGTGCAAACGAATTTAGAAATCCATGAATAGCTTTTGCACAGTACTTGTTTCCATGAACTTTTTTTATTCTTCTTTATTTTTTCATGCTAATGTAATATTCATACAAAGAGAACAGATCCAGTGTAGTTCACAGTAGAATCCTAAGAATATGATATTTCCTTTCTCCCTCCCTCCCCTCTTTTCTGCCTCTCTCCTTGTCCCCTTCCTTCCTCCTTTGCTTTGCTTCCTCCTTAGTTTTTGAGATACATATTTTTAATTAACATTACACTCATTGGCTTAATAATCCACTAAATCAACAAGAAAAATGACCCAAGTTCAGTGGCAATGCAGGCTGGGGCTATAAACAATAATCAGATGGAAAGATGAACATTTCACCCATATGTAGTAATTTTTAAAATAATCACAGATCATTAAAACTATAGTAGTATAACATTGTTGGCCATTGTTTTGACAAAGATATAAAACAGAGTTTGACAAAGATGTATTCGCAGCAATACTGACACAGGCATTTCTTTCTATATTTGTTTTTTGATTGTTTTTTAACTTTAGCTCACACATAGAAGGTAGAATGTACGGTATTTGTCTTTCTGTGCCTGGCTTATTTCACTCAACATGCCCCCCCAGTTGCATCCATTTTGATGTAAATGATAGAATTTCATTTTTTTATATTTGAATACTATACCATTGTGTGTATATAGAAAGTTTTCCTTGTCCACTCATCTGATGACAGATACCTTGATTGATTCCATATCTTGGCTATTGTGAACAATGCTATTATAAACATGGTGGTGCAGTTATCTCTTTGGTATATATCCAGTATTGGGATTGCCAGATCATATGGCAAGTCTATTTCTAGTTTTTAAGAAATCCCTACACTGCTTTCCTTGGTGGCTGCACTAATTTGCATTCCCACCAACAGTGTACGTAAGTGTTCCCCTTGTCTGCATCCTCACCAGCATTTGTTACTCTCTGTGTTTTGGATTTTAACCCATTCTGATGGGGGAGAGGTTGTATTTCATTGTGGTTTTGATTTGCATTTCCCTGATGGCTAGTGATGTTGAGCATTTTTTCATATATTTGTTGGCCATTTGTATTTGTTCTTTTGAGAACTGTCTGCTGAGGTCCTATGCTATTTCTTAACTGGATGGATTCCCAGTTTTTTAAATTGCTGATATATTCTGTATATTAATCCTTTGTCCATATGTAGCTTGCAGATATTTTTTCCATTGTGCTGGACATCTCTTCTCTTTACTGATTGTTTCCTTTGCTGTGCAGAAGCGTCTGAGTTTGCTAAGTCCTATTTGTTTACTTTGGCTTTTGTTGCCTGTGTTTTTGGGGTCTTATCCAAGATATTGTCACCTACAATGTCTTAGAGTGTTTCCCCTACATTTAGAGACATTTCTTCCAGCAACATCATAGTCTCAGGTCTTAAACTTAGGTGTTTGGTCCATCCTGAGTTGATTTTTGTATAGGTAAGAGGTATTGATCTAAGTTCATTCTTCTCCATATATACATTCAAGTTTTGCCAGCACCATTTATTGAAGAGATTATCCTCACTCCAGGGTATAGTCTAGGCGGCTTTGTCAAAAATCAGTTGGTTGTATGTTTATGGATTAATTTCTGGGCTCTCTACTCTGTTCCACTGATCTGTGTGTCAGTTTTATGCCAGTACATGCTCTTTAATTACTATAGCTTTGTAGTATGCTTTGAAGTCAGGTGTTGTGATGCCTCCAGCTTACTTATTTTTGTTTACTTACTTTCTGCTCAGGTTCACTTTGGCAATTCTGGGTCTTTTGTGATTCCATATGAATTCTTTGATTGTTTCTCCAATTCTGTAAACAATGTCATTGGTATTTTGTTGGGATTGCTTTGACTCTGTAGATTGCTTTAGGAAGTACATTTTAATTTGTCATTTAGAGACATTTAGAGACATGATTCTTCCAATCCATGAGCGAGGAATATTTTTCCACATTTCTGTGTGTCCTGCTGATTTCTTTTATTAATGTTTTTATGATTTTCATTGTAGAGATCTTCCACTTCTTTGGTTAATTTATTCCTAAATATTTGGTTATTTTTGTGGCTATTGGGATAGGGATTTCTTAATCTCTCTTTCAGTGAGTTCATCATTAGCATATAAAAAGCTACTGGTTTTTGTATGTTTATTTTGCAACCTGAAACTTTACTGAATTGGTTTAGGAATTCTAACAGCTTTTGGCGGAATGTTGAAGTTGTTCCAAGTACAACATCGTGTCCTCTGCAAACATGGATATTTTGACTTCTTTTTTCTAATTTTGAAGCCTTTTATTTCTTTCTCTTCCCTAAGTGTTCTTGCTGATACTTCCAGTAACATATTGAATGAGACTGGTGAAAGCAGACATTCTTTGTCTTATTCCAGATCTTAGGGGAGATGCTTTCAGCTTCTCCCCATTCAGTAGGACATGGGCTGTTGGTTCATCATAAATAGTACTTACTATTTCATGAAGTTTTTGAAGATCCCTTGCATGCCTGGGTTTCAGATTTTTTTTTACACCAAAATAAACTTATCTTTTAATTCCATTTGCCATGAACTTATTGTAGTGCCCTTGTGTTGGTTGACCCAGGGCTAATGTAGCCAGGGAAGTCAAGGAAAGCCTCTCTCTGCTCTGAGGTTGGAGCTGAGACCTGAA